TTGTCGAGGAAATGTGAAGTGAATGATGTTCATTTCTCTATTCCTTGGAGAATTATATGTATTTGTATGGTATTATTAGGAATAGAGAGAATTCCTATTTCTCAGTCCTTGGACAACCTCTATTTGATTTTAAAAATGATGATAATGCTGTAACAAACTACTTACGACTGTTTCCTTTGCCCGATACTTGAAACGAATGTCCATTATTTTCCAATATTTGACAGCAATCCTCTTCATAATCAAATACAAACGGTCGTTTTTGTAATTCGGAATCGAATACAGTTTGATCCGTGTATATTCGAATCGGTGATTGATATTTTTTATTTTGTAATTGAGGAAACAATTTTGACCATGCATTTGGCCCTTAAACATCAAAGGCTCTTAGAAGAATTCATCAAACGACATCATCAACCATTTCCAGCCGGCTATTCATAAAACATTGTAAAAATGTTTTCATATACGCAACATTCAGCTGGAAAGGATTGAAGTTGTAGATTTTTTGAAAACAAGTCCTAAGAATGTGTGCGTAGTTATTGTCAAAGTTAGAGCGAAGAAATGTAAGCCAAACTTCTACTAGTATATCTGAAATACCGATACTTATTTATAATTAATGAATTTTTTCCTGCCAAATGAGAAAATTCATTCAAGTTCAGACGAGAAAAGCACCTAGAATAATTTAAACATAGTAATGATTTAAAAAGGTTCAAATAGAATTCAGGAATAATTCAAACTTTTCTTTAGATAGTATTATCTATAGCGAATATTGATATAGTTTACGTTAAAGTTTCAACGTAAAAACTAATTTTCTTTCGTCAAGTATAGAATAGCACCTTTTAGATTTCGTCAATGAACGTATAACAATATACATTAATCATGTATTTGCATCATTGCCGATGTCTGTTAAAAATAAGTGTTTATATAATATGAGACAATAAGATAATATTCTAAAGCTGTTCGCTCTGTGCATACTAATGAATAAAAAAGGAGAAGATTAAGCACTTCTGACTGAATCACTTTTCATCGAAAACGAAGATTATCAGTATTTCCTCACCGGATGTGAATTTAAAAGATCACGGAAATACCATTCTTTCGATCCCGGTTGACAAATTTTTTAAGAAAAATCAGGTAAAAGAGCTCGGTTACAAAAACTAAGTTGTTTTAATGGCGAAATCATTGATTAGATCACAAGAAAAAATGTAATTAAACTTATACTAAGATAAACATGTTTTAGATCTCGCAATATTTGAATGCATAAACCGTCATTATTCTCCATCTAATTTATACTAGTTTTCTAATAAATGTCCAGCTTCATGTATTTAACAAAAAAAATGAAAATAGACAGAGAAACACTCGAACTTGTGTGATGAGATACCATCATAGAATATCAAAGTTGCTTGTTTGATATTCAAAAGGGCCCTAACATCTTAATGTTTGAACAGTTCGTTTTTGGAAAAATTCATGTGTAGAAATGTGCGTCTGTCAAAATAAAGCTTAAAAAACAGTTGGAACAAATGAAAAACGTCTATGACGCTTCCATTTCTATAGTTACATTTAAAGAACGAGGACCTCTTCTCGATGTCGTAGCTATAAGAAACTTTAGTCCTTTTGATTAGTTCATAAAAATAATAACAGACGAGCTCCGAAAGAAGTCTAACTGAAATATCCCATACGAACTCAACTCAATGTAGATATCATCCGTTCGAGATTCAGAATGAAAAATCTATTTATTCTCTTTATAAATAGGCGTGTTGCATAAGAAAATTAGTCTAGACTATCTGCATAACGACTAATCTAAAAATAAATCCTTTTGATTCTTAAGGGTTTTAAAGGGTGCTCTTTCTTTGGGCTTGCTCGGAAAAAATTTGAAATGAGTGCACGAAGGATTTCCGGAAAACAGTAGTTTTTGACATATGGTTTGACGTTGATGAAATAATTTTTGTAGAGAAACACTTTGTCTTAAAATAAATTCAAACAGACCATTTGATTTGCAATTGTACGGGCTACATTCTTAAAAACAAAGCGGCCTTCTACCACTAAAGTTCGAATTTTAAATCAAGTTTTAAATTTTAAAATTTCAACTTTTTCCAAATTCAAAATACTCTAGCTCAGAAAGATTCCTGAGTACTTTAAGACACATCATTCTATAAAGCTCGAAAAACTGAACAAAACTAGCTAGTTGGCAAAATTTGGAAAAAGACTTACAGTAGATGTCTAAGAAGGTTTTGGAAAACTCTGCGAAAATTTTTGTTTAAATTTCAGTTTTTCGCCTCATTTAAGCATTTAATGAAGCAAAGGAGATGAAGATCTAGGCCTTGAGTAGTTTTGACGAGAAATGTTTTGACTGTTGATTGCTATTATTTGAGAGTGGATGTCATGGTGCGGTTTGGGAACAGTAAGCTTTCGGATTTTGTCTCGAATGGTAAAACACGGTAAACCTCATCGAGCATCCTGAGTTACGCCCAATGTCTAGTTACATACGCCGCAGAGTATTTAGTTTCAGAATCCGAAAACCACAGGTATCTATCTCTCTTCATTGAAAAGTAATAAGCATTTTGCCGGAGCGCAGTCTTTTCAATTTCGATAATACTTGTGTGGTGACAAACAAAAACTCATTTGAATTTCTATATCGGTAGTATGAAAAATTAAACACATACTATAGTACAAGTTCTAGAATTCTTTACCATCTGCAATCATTTCTGCATCAGTACACTCGAAAGTCAAACTTCTTTTTATTATAGATAACACCAAAGGTTAGTCCTGTTAATATAGATAAACAATCTACTTATCGCTAAAAATATCAAAGAGAATTAGAAAAACATACACACTTAAGAATCATCAGATATAAAACCAGTATTTCTACTGGGGGTTTTCTACCCAAAAAACTTCAAACAAACCACATGCGCACACTTCTGAATTAAAAAATTTTCCGCTCCCCACAAATTTTTTTTTGGGCTATATACGATATTGGATTAAAAATATATCTTGGAAACATTAAATGTGAAGTTGATAACGTACATGCATGAGCTTGATTAAGTTGAGAAAGTCTTATAATTAATTATTATCGTCAAATACATTTCGAGTGCATGCTTCTGGCATATCCTTAGTGTACCGTTGAAGTATTATTTGTTCATTATCATCCGTTTTTAATACCAAGCATCCGTTGGAATTTAAATCAACATGCGTTATTTGGCTTAAAAACTGAGATATCGTAGTTTCAGCATTCATTTCTGGCATTGGGCCACCCATGCGTGTTGATGCAGTATTGCCCATTTTCCATGTATCACCTGATTGTTTCGTCAATTGACCCCAAATACTATTGCATATCCTGACTGAGAATGAATATGCATCAGTTTTACCGGATTCATCAGGTTGAATGGAAAATGAATAATTTTTCCAGTTGCACTCGTCCGATAGCTTTTTATACTTTTCTTTCATTTTCCAATCTCCTGTGATACCAGTGAAATCAGCTGGTTTTCGAGTTAAATTTGATGGAAGTTTATTTGCCTTTTCGATCGTTATTTTTCCATTACCGCTGAATGAAACATACGGATGCAGTGGCGTGGGATATGATCCAGTTATGTGAAATGCCATCCCTAATGGTTCGTCATTGTGAATCAAATACAATTTCAGTTCGTTATTACTTAAATCTAATAATAACCCAATTTTATCGCCTTGTTTAATTTTCGGACCGAAGCTGCCAACTAATAGTTGGCTACCATCAGATAAGTTGCCAACTGAGTTATACTCTAGACCCGTAATCCCATAGCCCGAACCAAATTTGTTTTCTGATGTGACACCAACCGCTCCATCATGAGTTTCTATTTTATATTCCCAATAATGTTGGCCATTTACAGCTCCACCATCATCGTCTTTAAACATAGCATTAACGGGTGAACCCGGATTATAACCAGTAACGGTAGCAGTATTACCATTAGAAGAAATAGAGGTCGAGTCTTCGCATAACCATGTACCCATTTTTTAAAACAATAACTAAAAAGACGGACTATGTATCCTAAACGTTATTTCTGTTGCGCTTTTCCTGTTTCAAAGGCAATAAATCCTATAACCCTTTATCCCGATTGTCCCTTCCAGAGACATCACCATGACCGCTAGAAAAAAGTAACGCAGCGCTAAATCAAAACTTTTTCAACTGGATTTTTTTCCAGCGTAGCATTTTCTAGCTCTTTCAAACTTATTTGACGGCTAACATAAATTTCTTCTGTTGTTCTCTGATTTTTCTCTTTTTCTCTCAACCCTTTACGCCCGGCAACTAATCATGCAAATCAAACTTGAAACGTGTGTACCTTTGTTTAGACTTGATGAAAACTTTTTTGTTATTAACAATCGTTAGCGTATAGAGTATTAGCTTACGCTGGAAAAAAATCCAGTTGAAAAAGTTTTGATTTAGCGCTGCGTTACTTTTTTCTAGCAGTTATGGTGATGTCCTCCGGATGGGACAATCGGGCATAAAGGATTAAAGTTATCTGTGGGAGCATACAAATTAAATCGTGTATAATTCTTCCAGAACAGGTCCGATAGTTAAAAAGTGTATTACAGTAGGTAAATTGATGTGTGCAACTGTTCAGAACCCTGATTTTTCAGAAACTGATCTATGCATAAGGGCATAAGGGCCCTTCTTATATTCAAAATCAGCTACATCAATTACATATATAATTGGAAAATAAGAATGGCAAGAATATCGTGCATAAGATATTCTTATACATGTACTCTATGTAAACTTACATGTATCAGTGAATACCTATGTACTCTATATATGTAGTAAATATTATGTACTCTAAATCATTATTAATGAATGCTAATCTACCGCAATCATTTCTAATTGTCTTATTCATAAGTTTTCGGCTAGCATCAAAACAAATCCGTTCACATTCCTTGCTGCTAAATCTTAGTACTTGCGTACCAGAGCTGATCACCTGCATGGTAAACTGCAGGCAGTGCAGGCAGGTTGCAGTTTGCAGGTGAATAAAAAAAATTTCCACTAACGGCCGGCAGATAAAGAAGAATGTTTTCCTGCCTGCACTCCCTGCAGGGGAGAAGATTTTACCTGCATTCCCTGCAGG